TAAAAAGACCAATCGCAGTGTGTTATGCATCAATAGCAGCAACAGCTTTTCCAGGTTCTGCAGTCATCTGAACAAAACTATAGAGACATCCAGCACACTCCATTAAAAAAAGAAAAAAAAGTACAAAACAAAACCTCAGAAAACGGCAAAGTTCTGTTACTGCTGTGGTACCTGGCACCATTTTTTTTTTATTAGCTTCTCAATCATCATCTGGAAAGAAAACATTCTAGAATAACGTCATTAAAAAGCAGCTCTGATATAGCACGGTCACTATTACGCTATCATAAAGCAGGTACAAGATATCTTACATTCACAGAGGTATGATACAGTACAGTCCTACATCTATAATACTAGAGGATACAATTAAAAAGGCATTATTTGAGACTTGATTCTACTTTTCCAGCAGAGGGCCCAAAGGATGGTGTGACACAGCTCTGGTACAGAAATGCACCTTCTTAGACAGGATTTCATTAGTGGCACAGTTAAGTACTCACTGCTCTTCATGAACATCAGCTAAAAACCGTTAAAAAACAAAAACAAAAACCACCCAAAATGAAAAACAAAACAAAACAAAACAAAAACCCCAAAACCATTGGATACAAAGATGGCCAAGTGTAGGCAAGTAGTGCACTCAACCTAACTATGATTTTACCAAATCTGTTATGTTTGAATGGTGAGAGCTCCATGGAAGAAAGGAGATGCCAAGTAGCACTTCAAAGCTTTGGGCCACAACTAAAACACAGTATCATTTCAAATAGAAGCAGTAGCCAAACAATGCTTATCTGGAGATGTTCAAGGATGCTGACACCAATACTTAATCATTTGCTCACTCATCCAGGAAGTAGGGGAGATAGTTACTATACTTTGATTGTGTTCAACTCAATCACCATGTTACAAAAAATAGCAAGCTGCCATAATAAAAAATAAGGCTCCTCTCTCCAGCACCGGTTATCTTCAGTTCCTCACCACCAAGCCTACAAATGCTATACCAGATCCAAAGAACGCAAGGGAGCAAAGAAACCACATGTGATGTAGTAGTGGGACAGCCACACTGTTCAGGCTGAGCTACTCCCTCTGCAGTGTTATTTTCCTCACATTTCTGGTGTTTCAACTAATCATAAGGATTTTAGTTCTAAATGATACGCACTCAAAGAATGTGTGCACATATTTGTATATAAATTCTGACTGAAGATGCACGGCCATCAACAGAGCATGTGTTATACAGCAGGTGCAAGCTGGCAAAGCCTCATTTTCTCTTGTGCAGCAGCTGTCAGTGTAAACTGCTCCTATGTCCCTGTCCCTTGTGCATCTCCAAGTTCTGCACAGGACAATGTCACAGACCACTTTACCCCTTTGGCCTCTGGCATTATCTGACTCCATTCTCCCCAACCTCATCCCCCAACCCCTGCTAAAACCCATTGGCTTTAAGATTTTGTTTCTTCGGTTTTGATTGCCTGAGGTTTGATTGGTCCAGTTCTAATGGGTTTGGTGGCCATGGTGGGTGCAGGGGTTGGCTTCTCTTCCACTTTTTCCTGACAGACACCAGAAGGGTCGGTCAGTGTTTCAGGAGGTTTGCTTGAATCACTGTCCACTCTCTGGGCTTTGCCAGCTATTTGTTTGCTCTGCTGCTGTTCAGAGAAGAACCGCTGCGTGGACTGAAGAACCTCTGCTCTCTGCTTTGCCTTAAAAAACGAGAAACAACAACTGAAAATGCTGCAGCGCTACTGAAGCCTGTCAATCAATCTCGGTTCATATTCTTTTACCAATCACAAATCAGAGTTTTCCCCACCTTGGATTGGCCCAAAACAAAAGTACCTCATTGATCTTGCAAGTTTTTAATGCATGGATTTCTTCCTATCTTTGAAAATATTCCATGTGATTTTTTTTTTTTACATTCAAAACAACAGGACCACCTCCCGCCACCTTTTCAAAGTTTGCCCTCTTATAGAATAATAAAATAGAAATTGCTGCTGGTTTGTATTTTTTCTGGAACAAAGCTTATTGCTATAAAATTTTATTTAGGGAGCCTGTCTGCATATTTGAAAACATATATGTAACACTTAAAACTTCTAGTTATCAATATTTGGTCTACAATAAAACGAAAAGGAAGCACTTATATTGTGGCATTACCAACACCTAGGACCAAATGTCTTGTGGCTGAGTCCTCTTCCCACAGCTCTCTTCTGCAGGGGAAGAGCATCAGAAATTAGTAACTACAACTTCACTTGATCACTAAGTTCTGATAGCTCCTACCACATTCTGAGCTGGTAAAATAGATAATTTCTTAGTTTTATTGACTATGTGCCCCAGAGAATATACTTACGTCAATCTGTAAACTATACCACTGTAACATATACAACTAAAACTTAAGTTTCTATGCCTCCTGCATATAATAAAAACCCCTTCATATTCTACAGGCAACCTGTACTATCCAAAGTCTGAAGCAATTTTCCAGAAATTTGTACCCTTCCCCCCATTAAGATTATTATGCTCTAATGTCATTCTCAACATAGGAAAGTATGAAAACCAAACGCCAAGGAGCCAGGAGCAGAAGTGGTAACCAAGGCCAAATAGTTTCCATAGATTTCTACATATACTATTATTTTTAATAGTCATGAACAGATGGAAGTCCTGGCTACACAGCTTTAATAAAAGCAGATAATGTTTAATAAGAATTTTACTTCAGGGTAGTCTTTAAATTTGATTACTCAGGATCAGAAACACAAGGATGTCAACCCAGGAAGAAACTTTCATCACACAACCGAATACTCTAACAGGATTACCATAAACATGTTTCTAATTCAGAGTAAAGCATTACTGTGGACATTTTCCCGGTTGGAAACAAGTAAGTTTTTCTTTGTTTTAGCCTGACCTGATATATGTAGTGGCAAAACAGGCAATGTTACTAAGATCTCTAAAGTCAAGTCTAATACACACAGAAATGAGCTGATTCAGCCGGCTGTATAGGCAGACAGGTTAAGATGAGGCTCTAAAAACTGTCCCCACACAGACTCCTAGGCATTCTTCTGCATTAGCAAACCTCACATTTATCAGTGCCTTTCATCACGAAGGATCCCAAAGTGCTTTCCTAAGTTCTTCATCTACAACTGCTCAATCCATTGTGGAATACAGGCACCTCAGGTGGCAGACAAAAAAAGGGTAAGAAAACTATACTTGGATGATTCATGAGGGAAGAAAAATCAAGATAGGTAACATGTCTTACCCATTCCAGAGTTTTGACATAATCATGACTTATGTTAAGTCGGGGGTGGGGGGGTGGGGGGAGAGGAAGGAAAATCAAAGAAAAGGGGGGAAAAAAAAGAAAAGAAAATGGGGAAGCCTATGATAAGCCATATCACTTTTCTGCTCTTCCAAAAACTGTAGCATCTACACTCAGATCTCCCTCAGATATTTATAAGCAATTCATTTGGCCACAGAATTTAAAATATTAACTTGCTTTCTGACTATAAAAACAAAAAAGAAAAAAGGGGGGGGGAATAGAAAAAAAAGGGGGAGGGAATAAAAATGAAATGGAAAAAAAAAAAAAAAGGTAGTTAGCTCGGTTATGTCTGCTAAGACAATGAATGCCTGGATATACGGTTATGGGTCCAGAGGCATCTTAAGACATGGTTCAGAGACACTCTTGCTCTGTTGGCTGTTAACACTGTACTAACCTTCATGTCTTGTTCAGCCTTCAACGCAGCCTGGGCCTGATTACCTCTGACTCCAGATAGTGATCCACAAGGACCCCTGGCTACATGTGGCAAACGAGCATGGCTCATGAGGCCTGTGGTCAGCGGAGGAGGCATCTGACTGGCCAGTGCCATTGGTGGCCTCTGAACAGGCGCTGGGAAGGTGTTAGTATGTGGGGCTCTTACCAATGGAGGGACCAGGTTAGGCTGAGAGAGAATCTGAGTGAAAAAAACAAAACATACAACATTGAACTGTTAAAAAAAAAAAAAAAAAAAGCCAACTAAACCAGGTTGGCTTATCCCAGAGTAAATCTGTGCCCAGTCTGCCATTGAAAGAAGTGTATGGACTGTGTCACTGCATTAACAGGGACAAACAGCACACAGGCCATGCTTAGAGAGTCTAACAGAAAAATTAGGCAAAGCATGCTGTGTATAGCACTTCACTTGGTTTTAGAATCTGAGCAGCAAATTCTGAAGGGGGGGACAGAAAGGCTATTAGAGTATCTTTAAAAATAGATACAGTTGCACAAAAGGCAAACACCTATACCAAATAATCTGAAGATTAAATAACGATAATAATAATTAAACAAATTTGTCTTTTCTCAGGACCCAGTTCTAAGTTGTGAGAGTTCTTATCAATTTCGGTTAGTCCTTCAATATGATCAGCAAAGGGAAGAGAAGCCGATTTTTTTTATACATACATTAGAATATCTTTTGGAAATTTCACCTCAAATGCACACAGATATCTTTTTTAAAAAAAGAGCTTCAAACACAGAAAACGTCAAGCACTGGGACCCTTCTCTGAAAAGTCAACTTCTTCAAAAAGATAAAAGGAACAGGACTGAAATGAATTATCAGAGCTGTGTGGGGAATCTTTTGACTATTTTCTATTGTCTGCTTTAGAACTATACTATTACTACCTGTGTCTAGCTACAAATTGCAGAGAATATATTTGAATGTCACATATTTACTGTTAAGTCAGAGATTGTTTTTCATGAAAACTGTGCTTCTATTCTGGTTAACATGTGGCAAGATTATAAAATTGGAGAATTAGCCAAATTAGCAATCATTTGCAAGTAAGTAATACTCATTCTCACTTATATCTGCCCACCTGGGGTGCAAACTGTGTAGGAAATGGCTGCGTCATTCTCACAGTGGCAGGGGCTGACTGGAACTGCTTCTGATAGACAATGCTGTTCATTTTGCTGGACTGGCTGTTCGGACTTGTGGAAGTAGCCCTTGGAAAGAAGCCATCGCTGGTCAGTATAGTAGTGCCACATAAATAATGCTGTTAGCTTTTTATAGTCATCGTTCTAATACTTCGTAATTGATGAAAATTTACCAAGGTGAGTTATCAAACATTATGGTAATGGAGAGACAACGAAGGAACAGAGGTGAGAAAGGATACTAGCTAGATTTGCTCTGTATTAGAAGAAATTTAGAAAAATACAGTGTTAAGAAATTTCAAAACTTAACATTTTAGATAAAACTATCAGAATGCCTTATTAACTCCTTTTGTGCTTCACACAGTGACATATTAATATGTGTCAAACAAATGGTGATCAATTATTCTGAGTAAGCAAATTTAAACGTCCATTTTACCGGAAGGGACTAGATGTTGGTGTGGTGCTTCTACCGCTGATTGGAGGTGTGCCTGGTTTGATATCAATACCACTTCCAAAGGCTTTTAGTTCCATTTCGGACATCTGAGAAAAAGCATGAAATAAATGCAACATTCCTTAAATTCTATAAACTAAGTGCTGTGTTTTATACCCCATATATAAAGGCTTAATCTAGCAAAGGGCAAAGAATCTCAGTACAAACACTCTATAATTAGGGTTTCAAGTACCATGGAATTATCAGGCCAAACTCGTGGCTAAAAAGTCTAAGAGATTATGTAAATCCAATTGTTGCACACAATCTGTGATTTATTTATTATTAGGTAAAAATCAGAGGGGTCAAATGCATTAAAAATAAATAAACAAGAAATGATTAAGTATACTGGGTTTTGCAATACCCTGGAGGGTGGTAAAAACTGGTATATTTTATTTTTATAGAATATACACTATGCATATATATGCATATATGGCCTTAAACCCTTGGTAAGCTGTGCAAATTTCTCTTCACTTACTTTTCCTGTGGTTGCGATCATGCTATGCTGTGTTCCAGCAGGGATTAATCCTCTGAAAGGTTGGCTTACTTGTGCAGGACGACTCAGGCTCTGGGCCTGAGCCTGTGGGGTAGTATGCTGTAATGGGGGCTGAATAGTCTGAGGCAAAGCAATTAGAGGTTGCCCTGTAGATCCAAAATTAGGCAAGGAAAGCTGGGAGGCTGGCAAAGGTACTGTAACCTAGAACACAAGCAAACAGAAACCTCAACAATTTGCTTGCACCCGCTGTACATACAATGCTTAAATACTCTGCAGTAAGATTTAAAAAAAATAGAATACATCAATCTACTAAATTATCTCAATACAAATCTTTTGCTTAGCGACTATCTCCATTCTCCTATTGAAGGTCCAACAACAAAATAGATTAGGTATTGCTACTTGGAGTAGAGAAACTATAAAATGAAAATAATTATGACTGTCTTCGAATTAATCCACAGCACATGTCAAATAAGCCCAAATGATAACAAAATTATGGGGATACAATTTAGGAGCAGTCACCCATTCTTAAATAGGTACTTTACAGTGCTTTCAGAGCTCAGCAAAATGAGCTCTGACACACAAAAAAAGAACTTGTCAGTTTTCAGATGGCCACAGTATTTAATTTGAATGTCCACAATATATTTATGAACAGCACCCCCTAAAACAGCAACCAGAAATACTTAAAGAGAGAATGACTGTTGGCTTGCCTCTCTCCTCCAGCCCTCTACCAGCTCTTAAAGAGTAAGCTGATTATGACACTGCTAGAGGAGGCAGTGTTTCAAAAAAACATAAATTTTCCACTGAAAATTACTGCACGCATATACTTAAGGGTGTTTGCCATTTGTACTCTGTTGCACTCTGCCACACTGTCACATGTAGTATGTTAACCTGCCTGATGGTCTTTACAGCCCTCCTCCCACCTCCTGCATTAATGGGTAAACTACCTATGACACTTACATGCAAATGTATATTTTGGACAATAGTTTTCAGACTTAGAGAGTCACACAATCCTGTGTTAAAAGGCACTAATTACATGGAAACAGTTAATAAAAAAAAAAAAAGGGTAAAAAGAGAATGATGACCGAAGTGGTGGGGAGAGGTGTGGGAATGGAGCACCTTCTCTGTCCAATGGCCCCTACAACTCAATGGAATTCCTAGGACACCTCAGAGGACAGTTTGAAAAATCAATACACTACGCTCCCATCTTGGTTCTATTTCAATTCCCAAAAAAAGCTATAAAAATAATAATAATAAAGAAAATTGAGGAAATTTACCATGCCATAGTTTACCTGCTGGAGAGCACTTGGTGACTGGGCAGTGTTATAAAAACTGGTCTGACCAGGCTGTTGTACTTGTCCAGAATACAGATTTGAAGCCTGGGTAAGATTCGCTCTAGCCTAGGAAGAATTTTGTAAGAAAACTGCAGTAAGATTGAAAAAATTTTCAACTCAGAGATCAAGGTTATGACTTCAAAGCAATCTCTAGCAATCTTAGTATTAGATTTTAAAAAAAGGAAGATCTTTGTTTTTTATTGTGTCTTTTAATGTTTTTTTTTCTTTATAACATGTTTTCTTAAAATAATCTGCTGCATAGGAATCCAGAGCCAGCATGTGGTTCCAGCCCTGGCCTTACCTGGAGAAGATGAGTGTCAATCAGTTGGGAGCCTCCTAGTCCTGATGCCTGACCCAGCTGATGTTCATACAAGATAGGAATAGGCTGAGTGTTTGAAGTCTGCTGAAAGGCAAGACCTGACTGTGCCTTGGCGAGTTCCTGGTGTTGGACAGCTGGAAAGTTGTGGATGGCAGTGCCAGAAAGAACCACAGATGGCTGGGATAGACTGCTTTGCATAAAGGCTGGCTGAGATCTACATAAATATTAAAGAAAAAAGGCTTATGTTAGAGATTAACTGCATTTGGAATCTGAAAGTTTTAAAAACGAGATTACCAAGTGACTCTAGGTTTCCACCCTGACTGTACATCAGGATTACCCATGAAGATTTTTTAAAAAATATCATGCTGGATTCTACATCTAGATTGCCCATTATCTCTGGGGTGGAGGGCTCAAATCTATGCTTTTAAAACAGTGAAACAAATAATAAGTAAGTATATGCATGCGCCGCGTAACATCCATTTGGACAACCTCCAACGGCGTATAAGTCTGCGGTCCCATAAGCTTACAGTAGAGTTCAGAAATCGCAATCAGAGAACACGGTGTGGCGGATGTACTTTGCTAAGTACTATAGATCCTATCTGTTTCTCACTAGCTCTCCAGGTCCCATGTCAGTCCCAGCCCTGGGGCAGCAGGGGAAGGGGGTCCCAGGGCCCATCCTCAGCTGTCTATTCCACTGTGCTCTCCTCAGGCAGGGACTGTACAGATGTTGCTGGAGCCACTGAGGGTGATAACCGTGAGGCCACTGCCCCATGTGGCCAGGGCACCCTGCGTGTCACGCCTGACCTGAGACTGCTGCCCCTCCTGTGGTGGCAGCCACCAAGTGGTCCGGGCTGCGGCAGTGGTGGGAGAAGGAGCAGGAAAGGTGCCTAGGGGAGGAGGTGGAGGAGGGGTGGGCAGGCTGGAAGAGTTTAAAGCCCATGGTGGCGGGGGGCGGGGGGCGTGCAGACAAGGCAGGCAGAAAGGAAGGAAGGAAGGGAAAGGAGCCAGCTGCAGCAGGGGCAGAGACCAGTCGACGACCATGCTAAAGTTTTCATGTAGTCCCTCGGTGCAATGGTGCGAGTCCCAGGACGGCCTGCACGCCTCTCTCCTGTATATAATATGCTTGCACAACATCCAAATCATATAATGTCCTATGTCACAGAATGTATTGTGGATGTTAAGTGACACATATCTGTAACTAGAAAACCCTGGTGGCATAGTGGGTAAGAGCTACGGCTGCTAACCAGAAGGTCAGCAGTTCAAATCCACCAGGTGATCCTTGGAAACTCCATGGGATAGTTCTACTCTGTCCTATAGGGAGGGTCGCTATGAGTCGGAACCGACTCGACGGCAGCATTTTTTTTTTTTTTTTAAAGTATTAACAGAGTAAGCTGATTAGGTTACGGACAGAGCAAGGAAGAAGTAGCAGTATGATGTGTTTAGGGATATAAACAACTGCTTTAAGTCTAAACCTGTGCCTTCCAACATGGTAGCCACTAGCCTCACGTGGCTATTAAGTATTTGAAGTGTGTAGCTAGTCCAAACTGAGATATACCCTAAATATAAAATACATACTAGATGGTGAAGACTTAGTAAGAAAAAGAATATGCAAAATACTTCATCAATAACTTTTATATTGATTATATGTTGAAATTATAATATTTTGGATATACTGGGTAAAATGAAATATATTAGTAAAATTAATTTCACCTGTTTCTTTTTTAGCTTTTTAAATTTGGCTACTAGAAAATTTAAAATTATGTATGTGGCTTACATCACATTTCTATTGAACAGGTCAGGCTCAAACTATCTTAAAGGTACACCTTCCAAGACAAATATTAAAATAGGGATAATTATTTCTGGACGTCAGTGCACTGCTATTCCCCCTCCCACGGCCAAGAAACACATTACTAATTAGTTGCTGTGCTCTTTTTCACAGACCTGGACATGGCCTCACACTTTTCAACAGTGTTTCGTGCAACCAATATTAAAAGGAGATTGGTTTGTGAGATTAAGAGACTACCTATAACTTCCAGTCTAGTGTGGTAAACAGTTTTTATTTCTACTGGGGGAGAATCTGTTGGAATAACCAAACTAAACAACAGAGTAAGACCAGAAAATAAAACCTATTATATTACTAATGACACAGATGTAGTAAATTCTACTGAGGAATCTTTAATCAAAAAAACAAAAGGGAGAGTCACAATTATCAAGTTTACTAATGATCTGCTCTCTTTTGAGAAAGTTTAACTAGCTGAACTAGGATTCTTTAGCAGTCTCATTTATGGTAATCTAAAAGCAATGAGCTATATCAATTGATGCCAATTTTAATCCATAAAGTATGGAAATTTTATCTGAACCACTTCTAAAAACATAAGAAATCAAACATATTTCCAAAAGCAACTGCACAGCTTTGCAACCTTCTTAAGCTAGATGACCTGAAAGCAATTTATTTCTCTTTTGGATGACTGACGACCGAACTGTGCCATGATGTGCTACCCCTATCGCTTGACTCCTATCCCTACCCTCTACCCTCATTAAGCTGGAGACCAGGGCACGGGCTGAACCCAGGCTCTGCCACTTATCTGTAGGGTAACCTTAGGTAAAAAACCTAACCTTTTAAAGTCCCAGTTTCCTCCTATGTCAAATGGGGATGACTTAATCTACCTTATATGGCCATGTGAAGACGAAACTGAGTTAAAGTACATGAAAGCTAAATACCTATTATAAATAAGGAAAGTTCAATAAAGAACAGTTTCCTTTATTACCTGAATTAGAAAGACAGAATCCTTCAAAAGGATGCTTTCTCCTACACTACAGAGGATACTGATCACCATTATCAACACTACTTCTACTCTTTGTCACTCTACTCATCTCTCTTCTATTGTATTTCAGCCTATCCTCTGCTCCCTAACATACTATAGTTATCTTGCCAGGCTTCAGTTCTTACAGAGGGGACCTGAATTTATAGTCTACGGCTATAATTTATTGTGCTATGGCTGCTAACCGAAGGTTCAAAACCACCAGGTGCCCCTTGGAAACTCTATGAGGCAGAGTCAGCTCGATGGCAACAGGATTGTTTTTTTTGGTTTTTAGCAGACAGACAGCACATAAACTTTTGGGTCCTTCAGCAACTGTTCTCTGCAATTTTTAACTGCTATGGGGTTGTTGGTGCCCTCTTCTTCAAGAACTTTTGAGGCCTGACTTGGTTCAATAAAGGCTGGTTGAAATAATCAGAGACTGTGGTTAATGATATATAATCAGTATACTAAATTATTTATAATATAGCTTATAACAGGATCATCCCAGCTTTTGCGGGGAAGGAAGGAGCAGTAGGGATTATGGCAAGCAGACCTAATATTATATTGTTTTCAACATTACAAGGTAATTTTGAAGCATTTACCTATATGGTTGAAGTGAAGAACTGAATAATTCCTGAGCTTGGGAAACAGCAGGCCCAGCCCCTAAACTCAGTTGAGCTTGATGCTGTCCTTGCAATGGTGCATAAATAGGGATTGGAATCTGCTGAACTGAAGTTGGCTGTAATGCAATGAAAAAAAAATATATATACACAGAGATATTATATATGAACATCATACACACAAATGTTATTTTGGAAAATAATGTTTTGAGACACGAAAAGAATAAAAATTAATGCCACGTATAGCTCCCTTTTAAAAACAAATGTAAACATCTAAATTTTCCTTTCAATTCATTACTTGCTCTACATTGTTAACCATTAAGTTTTGGTAAATTTAGGAAAGACCTTTAATTTTGCTAATACTACATAAGGATAATCATGGATAGTCTATTATTTGTGATTCAAGATGACTATTAAACAATCATAAAAATGCAAAGAAACAAATATAGAATGAAACAAGTTTTTGATAATTACCTGAGAAAGACCTGGTTGGAAGCCTTGTTGCTGAGCCAAGGATGGGGGAGCCAATCGTGCATGCTGGGTATTGAATAAATGACTTGTGTCCATATAGAAAGCTGGAATTTGTGTTACTGGCCCCCAGGAAAAACAAGCAGTTAGATTTCAGAATTTTCCAAAGAGTAAATAAAATTCAAGCTTTGTAGCAGATTTCAAATCGATAGTTTTTAGCAGCCAGACACCATGTAAACTTTTGGGTTGAAAATTAATATAGCCATGGAAAAACCAGAAATGTTAATCTCCTAGAGTACAGGTATATGCAAATTAAACAAACATAAATGTAGTGCTTGTGAAGGTACAGACACTCCCATGTACAGCCAACAGGGTATAAATTGGTAAAATTTCACATTATCTGTTAAAATTGAAAATGAGCTTACCCTTTGAAACAGCAAATCCACTCCAATTTTAAATCTACCTACTAGAATTTACCAAAATATTTTAAAAGAATTGACATTTCATAACGAGAAAAAGTTTGGTATAGATTCTTCCAGATTTCCTTTCTATGTATTATACATACTGGTTTGTGACTTGCTGTTTTTATGTAACAGTACGTTCTGGAGAGCTTCCCGTATTTTATTGTTATTAATTAGTCACTACTATGAAATATACTGCAATATACATCCATATATATATATATGTATATATATATACACACACACACACACATAAATTTAACCAACAGGCAAGTTTATCTGTATGATAGATTCCTAGCTATGAAATTGTTACTACAGTGGGTATGTACATTTAAAATTTCTTAAGATCGTTTTCAAGAAGAATTATGCCAATTTATATACTCAACAGCAATAGATTTTAAGGGCCTATTAATATCCTGTATCCTTACAGATACTGGGTATTAACAGATACCAGATAGTATCAATCTTTCTAATATTCCCCAAATTGAAAGGCAAAAAATAACTTCATTGTTCTTTTAATCTGAATTTAAATATTTTTCAAATATTTACTGACAATTTAACTTATATAATACTGTAATACTTAGTAGGGCAAGTTACCCCACCCCTACTATATAAATTTTTTTTCTTCTTTGCGATTCTTACTTATTTTGTTTATTCTTCCACATGAACTTTACTATCAATTTGTCAAGTTTCAGACAACAAATAAACCTTTTGGAAATTTGATTGGAATTGTGTCAAGTGCATAAATTATTCTGCAAATTATTAGATATTAATTTGTCTAATATGTAAAACATATATGCAAGAAACGATTGGCAATAATATATATGTAAGAAATATCTGCCAAGATCCCCAGAACGCTCATCAAAGAGAGAGAGCATTCAACTCTATACGGGAACAAATTTGCAAAGCAGACCAAAAGTAAATTTAAACTTAAAAGGTTAACTAAGAAAAAAAAATAAGCATTTAAAAAAGTCTCAGTTCCTAATATTCAATCCTAAAAGCATTACCTGCTGCAGACTGAGACACGTAGACTTGTGGACTCTGTTGTTGCTGGGCAATAAGGGAAGGCATACAGCTTAACTGTGAAAAATGACTTGCAGAAGGCAGGCTGCTTGTCTGTAACTGCTGGGGTTTCACTTTACAAATGTTAGGAGGGTCAGAGGTGGTTGTAGATTTTGTACTCAAAGAAGAGGTAGTGTATGTACCAGCTCCTATATTTGAAGAAGGGATAAAATAAGGGGAAAATATAGTATATTTAAAAGTGCTGTTGTTATTCAGAGTAAATAACTCAAAATAGCAACAGGAAACTGAAAAATTACTGTTTATACACATTTATGCCTATATCCTTCCTCAGGCCCCAAATCTACACCTATCACCAAATGTAAACAAGAACATAAAATCCGAGAAATAGAAACAACAGACATTTAAAAGGAGGAAAAAATAAGACTCACAATATAAGGAGGCTGAGCATCTACATGGCTGTTATAGTTTAGCCCCGAACTTCTATTCAATTTTTAACCTTAAATTCATTCATTTATCAACAAATATCTGAATACTTACTAAAGGCCAAGCATACATATAATAGAAGTCAGTTGATATAGTTGGAACACTCTTCTAAAGAAGTGTTCCGTTTGATTTGAAATTTTAATGCAGTATACAATAATCTCTAGGTTTGTCTTAAAACATAATTTTGACTTCAGTTAATTATCAAATTAACTGTAGCACAATCAAAGGCCAGTTATTTTGGGAACTTAAAACCAGCACAGTATACCAAAATATTGAAAGCCAGTACTGCAATCACTAAATGAGAACCAGTCAAAGAAAGTAAATTCTGTGCTAGATATATTTTATACATGCTGGAAAGTTGTCTTCTGCTGCCTTGGAAACATTAGGGAGATTCAAGTGAGACAGACTGAAATAAAATTTGTTTTCAACAGAAGAAACATGGCTGCATATATGGAAAAAGTGCACACTTTCCTACAGTCAAGAGATTAGAAATGTCCTGTGATACCTGTAAAGCACCCAAATCAGTATCGTTCAATGAAAGGATTATATATACTGGTGAAAAATTAAGGAAAAAGGCAAGAAAGACACCATCTAACTTGGGGGACTCGATGAACTGTCCTTAAAAAACGAAAGGGTGAAAAAAATCCAACGAATTCCATCTAGTCAAACAGCAGAGGCTGGAAATTCTCTACTCCTCCCTCTTAACCAGAAGACCAACGACTCCTTCAAATTAGATACATACTGCAAAAAATGTGACAGCTATGTGATTCTGTGTTATTTCTCAGCTGGTCTAATTAGTTTTATATGAGTAAAAAATGATAATCAATTAGTATCTGTAACTTTGAGGGATGTCCAGCAAAGTCTGTTTTAATAGCCATAAGTAAATACTTGCTAAACTAAAATTGGGAATAGGAAAAAAACGGTAGAGGAGGTCAGAGTGACAAGAAGTTACAAAACAGCTGACAATGGTTCCATCTTACATCTTTTGTAAATAATACTTTTTCTGTGCGATTGTAAACAGGAGAAAATCATAAGAAATTTTAAATAATTCAAGATATTTAAAGGAAAGGTACAAAAATCTTGTACCTGATAATGATGTTGTAGGAGTCACTGAGGCTACAGGAATCTGAGGCATCGATGCACTTGAGAACGAATTGTAACTAGCAGTGCTTGGCCCACTGGCACCACTGCTGACTCCACTTGCAATTGGAGGTGCTGTGGAAGTTACTGGAGACCCCTTTTCCCTTACATTTGGAGAATTCTCCCATGCCTTTCGTGCAGACTCCATCTGCAATAAAATGGACACTATTTTTTAAAAATAACAAGAAGAAGTCAATGTTAACACAGAACAAATACACATGTGTGTGTTTACATATATATCTATATTTAAAGATTAAGACCCCAGGGCTTTCAAATCTTTCTTCTCTCTTTATGTACCATTGCTGCTTTATGCAAATGGAGGATTATTGACTATCTCTACAGAGAACTTGCTGACAGCTTTGGGAAACAGGTCAGAAGAATATAAAGTTACCTAAACAAAACCTCCACCTCTACCAGTGAATAAGGAAACAGAAATACCATGCTCCTTTAGACTGCCTTGGTGGCTCTGGCTCTAGTGGAAAGGTCCTAAAGGCCCTCAGGAAACAGCCATTCCCTCCTTTCTTTTTTAGACAATGCTTCTCAAAGGGCAGACACAAGCATCTTTTGTTTGGCTGTTTTGTTATGCTCACAGTGTTTTAAAACGCAGTGTAACTAGATAGGTTTCAGCGTGCTTGGCTGAACTGGAAATAATTCTTGTTTCACATCAACACCCTCTCAAGTGTTTCAGGTAACTGTACTGGCTGTAGCCATCTGTATTTGTGGCCTCTGATTTTAGCTCTAGTCTCCTAGTTTCTTAAAAGGCACAAACAGCTTTTAATTCAATCTATTTAGAATAGCATATATCATGCAAGTCACGTGTAATTTTAAATTTTCTAGCACCCATGTTAAAAAAAAGTAAAACTAAGGAGATATTAATTTTGACAGCATTTTGCTCAACCCAATATATCCAAAATATTATAATTTCAACATTAAGCAACAAAAAACTGAAATAGTTTATGTATTATTTAGTATTAAAATTTTAGGTCCAGTGTGTATTATACACTTATAAACCAAGAAACCAAACTCACTGTCATTGAGTCGATTCTAACTCAAAGAGACCCCATAGGGTTTCCAAGGCTGTAAATCTCTACGGAAGCAGACTGTCACATCTTTTTCCCGCAGAGCTGCTCATGGTTTCGAACCGCCGACCTTTCAGTTAGCAGTAGATCCCTTTAACCACTGGCCCACCGGGGCTCCTTATACTTACAGCACACCTCAAACTGGACTAGCCACACATTTCAAGTGCTCAACAGTGACATGTGGCTAGTGGATTCTGATCTGGTGGGCGCAGATGTAGATCCTCAAGTGTCCTGAGGCTACTTGAACAGGAAGGGGACAGACTGTAAATTTTCATTTTATCAGTTCCACCAATCAAAATACTGGACTGAGTAGAAAACCTAAGGTAATCTATAAAATTCAGTTGTGATGACTTACATGAGAATACTTTTTATGAGTAACATTTTTAATACCACTATAGGAAGGAAAGATTTTTCAGATCCTTATAGTACAATGTCTAAAACTTTACTTTAATTGTAAGAATTTGAGGAATATTCACATATTCCAACCTGCATCTTTTTAAAACACCAAACCCGCTGTTGTCGGGTCGATTCTAACACTACGCATAATCCAACCTTTTCTTATGACTAAGTCATCACTGTAAATTTAAAAGATAGACTACTTTTATGTTTGCTTGAGTCTTTTCTTTTCTCACCTTGTTGATTTCAAATGTAATTTATTTTAAAATAAGTTTTTTTTTTTTTTTGAGGGGGGAAAAAACCAAAACACAAATTTAGGAAGTTAGCCACAATTCAATTTGCCTGTACTGAGATTTGTGAAGGAGCTCTGGTGGTGTGGTGCAATGGTTAAACCACTCATCTGCTAATCAAAAGGGTTGGCAGTTTGAACTCATCCAGCGGTTCTGCGGAAGAAAGATCTGGTGATCTGCTTCCATAAAGATTACAGCCTAGAGAACCCTATGAGGCAGTTCTACTATGTCACATTGGGTCACTGTGAGTTGGAATCGACTCTATGGCACACAACATCATCATCTGAGATTTTCATAGTTCAGAGTGCAATATCTTCCATACCAGTTTTTTTTTTGTGTGTGTTGAAAACACATGATGTTTAATTACCTTTGCATAATAGATAGGTCACATGCATTTGGCTTAACTTCATTTCTTAAGTAGCGAGAAATTTCAAGTTTCTATTTTTAGAAATTCAGGAAACTAAAAAAGTACAATTATTTAACTGCATTTCCCCTGGCAAAATAACTATTGATAATGTCCATATAGCAGAACTTTAATATACTTTATCTATTACCCAAATAAAGAGAGATGCCAGAAGAAGTAAAAATAAAGAAACTAGGAAAGGATTTAAGCTAATGCAATTTAAATTTAGTTTAATTCTAAATATATATTATTTCTTCTTAGCATGTAAAAACATGAGTGAAACGCAAAACTCTATAGGTTTTATGAAGAATGAGCAATTGGCTTACAGGGAAAAAAATGACATATTTTTGGTCATGTGAAATTAGATTATTCCCTTTAAGAGGATAATGATAGAAATCATCTCTGCATATTATAAGACGTAAGAAACAGACTGGAATAGGCATTCAAGTGAAAACAACAATAAAGGCTGAATGGGAACCAGCACTGAACAGTAATGCCTGGGTAAGGACAGGAAGTGCACAAAGCAGAGGTTGTTCTTTCATAAAATTTCGAACAACTTCTTAACTCCCACTCGCCCAGAGACTGTCAACAAGATTCCCTGTCAATCAGTATGGCATTAGGAAGCCTTGCTATAAAAGATTATGAAATTGCTCATATTATAAAACTGAACAAACAGCATCAATGAGATAAATACATGTATTTTAAAAATTCCCACTTAATTCCATGTCTGTATTTTTCCTACTAATTCTAAAGTGAAAAAACCCCTCAAAAATGTCAAATCACAATCTCCTTGTGTAGCTTATAAAGCACACTCATATTAATCAATAGTCTCTTCATTTTAAATACTAGGATATCAAGTCACTGCTAAGTGGTGTTTCAAACTAATAAAATTTTAAGGTATAAATTTGACATCATTCCATTTCTTCAACTTAGTATTGTTGCTTACCACATAAAACTAGTAAAAATACCTAAAGATATTGTTAATTTATGTCCCCTTGCATGCAATAATCAAGGACCCTCAGAGATGGATGTCATACATACCTTGAAGGTGAGGCTGAAAGTAGTGGGAGGAACTGAAGTCAGGCTGGAGCTCTGTTGGATAGTCTCCCTCTTAGGGAGGGAAAGGGTGTTGGGCAGGGGCACCTGAAAAGGTAGGCAACACGTATCACAATCTATGTCTGCTACAAAAGCCTCATTAAAGTTAATGCTTAAGTACTCTCAGGATGTTATTTTTTCATCAGCCAACAGGAATATCTAACTACTCAGTAGTTATAGTAATTGATAATTATGGACATCTTGGATGACTCTATAGAGAATTACTATCTGCCTTTTTATGCATGAATTGACAAAGAGTCGCCCCAAATATAAGCTATACTTATAATGACCCTATAGGACAGAGTAGAACTGCTCCATAGGGTTTCCAAGGAGCAGCTGGTAGATTCCAACTGCCGACCTTTTGGTTAGCAGCCAAGCTCTTAACCACTGTGCCACCAGGGCTCCACTGAAGGCAATACCTCTCATATTTTAATGTGCATAGGAATAACCTGAGAATACTGTTAAAATGCAGATTCTGATTCAGTAGGTTTGGGGTGGGGCCTGAGAGTCTAACAAGCTCCCAGGTAATGCTGATGCTACTGGTCCATGTGTAGCAAAGCTCTAAGGAATATAATTACCACCATTTATGAGATCCATAGGTTCTACCAGAGACATTTAATGTAACACAGAGAAAATTTAAGGAAACCTCTTCCCTGCAATATAGTCAACTTTCTTCTAACAAGATTCAAGAACAAACGTACTAATCTTGGGGGTAGAGGAAGTACAAAATATTCCCCCACCTTGATACACTAAACAAAATTGCTTTGCTACAGTAATAAAATGATAAATACTGTTAGAAACTTGAAGACACTAGAAACTTACTACGCATCTCTTTTTTCCCTCTAAGTCTCTGGATCTAGCGATTTTATTATGTACTGCTATACATTTGATTTTGATGGTTCACACAATTTTTTTAGGTAAAATGAACGCTGCTTGGGGGTTTTAAGGTAATAATTTGTGATACTACTGACTACCTAACGGAAATTCTTGTATAAATCTGAGCTATAATCATCAAAACTCCACCTGCATTCAAGTCTTCGAGATATTCAAGATACAAAACGTTTGTCATATTAGCTAACATTAACCAATAAATAACAGTTAAGATCCTAAAAAAGTGTATTTAGCCTCAATAAGGCGAATAAGCATCTTTTAAGTATAATAAAGAAAAAAGGACAGAACTTCTATGTATAAAATGGAACCTCCAAAGAGACTAATGAAAGAAAAAAGAACATTTCAAAAGGTCCTAAACAAAACGTCCTATACATTTGTTTTTAACACTATAGTAATTAACTTCAGAATCACCACCACACTTGGCACAAGAAAGCAACATTGTGAAATCACTCCAGACTAAAGCCCATTATTTAATGCTCCCTGACCCAAACTGATGTATTTTGAAACATATCTTAAATCTACTTCTAACAAATTCACCTATACATGACTGGGTCTCTTCCCCTAAACAGACATCAGTGTACAAGTACCTACATTAATCAGCCTTACAGATCACACAGAAACCTTGAAGATGTTCATCTGGTTATTTTCAATGACTTCTAAGGGTCCTGACAATAATGATCTTTTCTTCCTTATTCCCATTTCAAAAATTATATTTTTTTATGGTAGTCTGGCAGAAAGCTTCATATACTTTCTTGAAAATGAAAGTAACACCTTAGATATAGTCTATATATTTTTCAAATGGAGAAAAGATGCCAGAAATTAAACTTTATTTGTTGAGACTTTACTGATTCAATATTTGATAATCTAGATAATGACATCAACACTGACAGGAAGTCTTTTTTCCCCTCCCCAAGTTTTCTATTACTTAGTTAAAAATAATTTAAACCATTATCAAAAAGGGGGTGGGGATGCAGAGGACATGGCACATGAAGCTTTATAACATCCCAAAGTTGTACGAGTTATATTAGTCAGCTCTCAGAGACGTCTGCTATCACCGAGAAAAGGTATGTGACTTACTCCTCTCTCTTTTTTTTCCACAGCTACATATTAAGAGCTTTCTGGTTGGACTATAAAGTTGGATTGAGTGATTCTAATGCTTCTTAACTCCCTACAATTCTTTATACTTGATGCTACAGGGAAGAATAGAAAGTCTAGGAAAAAAACTGTAAAAAGACAAAAATCAAGATTTTTACAGTCAAGATGACATAGCTAAAGCTCTTTGTGAGAGACCTTTCAGTATTTATTTGCAGAGGGTATTTTTGAGAAGAAGGATGGACATATGAGTCTGAGAACCATTGCTTATTGTAGAGGCTATATTTGAAAAGAGCAGCTGTCCAAATTTCCTCCATACCTGTTCTCCAAAACACGGGCCATGCTAGTAACTTCTAAAATGCTCTTCTAAATTACAGTGTGACCATGGCAGACTTCTTCATCTGTCAGTCAGTGGACTAGACAAAATGTTGAACTGTACTGACTTTTAACACAATCTTGAAGTATAACAAGGTTGCTCTGGGAAACTATGGCCCAATTTATAACATAACTTACTATCACCTTATAATAGAGCATTTAAGAGTTTTCAAAGTATTTATGTATACAATATAGCTCAATCTTCACAAAAGCGATGTTGTTATTGTTGAAGTCACTTTTTAAAAAATATTCAAAAAGGAATACCTGAGCCTTTGAAAACACTAACTGTCCTTTAGTTTTAATTCAGTGAGATTTCACTGCATTAGGTAAAAGTTTCATTAAAATAAAATCACCAACCAAACAAAATGTTGAACTTGTAGAAAGTGAGAACTAAGAAAAAAATTCTTACCAAAACCAAGTTAATAGGATTAGTACTTATGAAACCAAGCCTAAGCACCACAAATTTTGACTCTGAATAGCCAGCCAATGACTTTCAAACAAAACTGCTTTGACTATCGTTGCTAATTATAATACAGCGTTCCTACAAACAAATTTACTACCAACTTTTTCCCTGGTTAAGAGTCAAATATTGCTCACATAGTAAGTACAACATAAGATGATGTACTAGATAATAGCTAAGTTCCTATCCAAACCTGCTAAATATCAGATTGATTACTTACATTATTAACCAAAGTGTCCTCCATCTTTGCATTATTAGTAGCCACAGTGTTAGACAGAGAAGAAGAAGGTGTAGTATAGTCTGTTACCGACTCCTGTGGAGTAGTAATAGAAAAAAAAAACAAAACAAAAAACGTTTTAAATTGAATTAACTGAGTCATTTTCTAATGACCACCTAACAGTTGTAAAGTTATTTCGGAAGAAAGGAGGGAGAACAGACCTCAGCTCACTCAAACTTTCTATCAGTCACCAGTAGGCTACAAAAACATGAACCTACCACTGAAAAGGATACCGTTCCAAGTGTTCCTAGGGTACTGTACATTTTTAAAATGCACTGCAGAGTATTAAGAAGTTGTCAGCAGTACCAAGTATTTATTCCTGAGGATTACTAAAAAATCTTTCTGCATTTTCCATATACTCAATCCATAGCTTACTTTCTATTATTGATTTTTATTCCTCTTCAATGTAGATAAATAAATGTCAGGATCTTAAGTTGTCACAATTAATTAGGTTTTAGGGTACACTCCTTGTTTATCTCCATGAATGTCTTCTTTAAATATTTCAGTTGGATCACATAAGCTTTTTACTTACATGAATTCAATCATATGGCAATTAAAAAGAAAAATATCCACATAATATGGAAGATTTCATCTAACTTTCTTATAAATGAATATCATCTCCTGGAGTGAACATCAAACAGCAGATAACTTTGCTGTTCCCACGAGTGTCAGCCAGCTCCTATAAGTTACTAAGTGTATCTTGCCTTAAGTAGTATTTTTAAAGGTAAGCATTTTTCATTCAACATGGCCCCTATATGCAAGTCAACTACTTCCTCTGGTGCTCAACCAATGAAACAGTGCTTTGTTTCAACTCTGGAAGAAAACTGGCTACATTGGAATTAAGGAAAGACTGTGCATCAGGTGTAGTGAAAAATCACAACTTTTGATTTTTGTCTTATTTCCTTATTTTAGAATCTCACCCACCAGTGGGCAAGATAAGGCTCTACCATAACTCTATAAACAAAATTTATTTTAAGTAATATACGGCAATTCTTTCAAAGCCTACAAACTGAAAATGAAAAGCATTCCAATCTTGGGTAAATGTTTTTCACTTTAAGCTACTTAAAAAGCCCAAATTCAAAAGCAAAGAAAATTTCCACACATAAAAAAATTTACCATAAAGAATTTTTAGATAATTTATGCACATCATGAAATAACATCTTCTCTGTAGAAATAATAACCCACAGTCTATAGAATTAAATGCCTCAAGCAAAAAAAGTATACTGTTGCTGTTTTTGTCACTTATCTTTGACATAGTTTGCATCAATTTCACTTGTAATTATTGCATGCTGCATACCTTTGCATTAGTGCCAAATTCTGCAGACGACACTGAAATCATTGTTCCTATTTCAGAAGACATTTCTGAGACGGTTTTGGTTTCCTTTGTTGTGACAGGATCTGTGCTTCTGCCTGTAGCAGGGCTTGGCTTCTCTTGTCCTTCTGGCTCCACCTGCTGAACATCTTTTACTTTTCTGTTTTTTAACGAACGTTCCTTTCCAATGGGACCAGGTTTATGTTCCTTGCTTTCTACTGGACTCAAATCTGGAAGCTAAATTCAACGTCTATGACAAGGATGCATCATCATCAAAGATACTTATTAAAAACTAAATTTTAAACTGATATTTGCTCTCTGTAAGTGCTGATGGCTTTCATAAAATTATATCTGGAATATGAATTGTATTTACCTTCTGGGCTTTGATAGGTCCTGCCCGTGGCTGCTTCTGCCGTTGTTCTTTGGGCTCAGGTATTTTGTCAGTAGGTTTATCCGAAAGCATAGGAACAACTTCATTTTCATTCCCATTTGAAGCTGGAGCACCAAACTGAATTGTGTCAATTCCTATTTCAACTCCACTTTCTTGACCATTCTTTGTTCCCTAGTAAGAGGGTATTTAAAAACTTGTCAAAACAAAAAAGAGCTCAAATTTGACTAATTTATGTAACACAACAGTACAACAGAAATAGGTTTGAAGCAACCTACACGTCAACTGAGATTAATTACACTGATTGTTTTATAACATCCCTACAACCACCTTGATCTGTATTAGGAAACAACTGATAAAATGACGACAGGACAAGACTTCAGTTTTAAACGTCCTGGCTCTTATGAGTGCAGATCACGGGCAAATCATAGCCTTAAGTTGTTTCATCATTTAAAACAAAAGTAAAAGCAACAAACACACAAAGATATCACCAGCAACAAACAGATGAATGAATGAATGGGGGAGGGGGAAAAGATACAGCAATACCACTATCACTTAATTCTCAGAAATTTGTTCTGACAATAAAATAACATACATAAAAGTACACTGGAACTGGTGATGTAATGTACACACTTAAGGCATTCATTCACCAGGTAAGTAGCTAATTTATGCAGCACCTTCTTCGTGCTAGGCATCCATCCAGACACTACTGATTTAACTTGTGGAACTTGCATTCTACTGGGTGGAGGAAATAAACAAATGAAAACTCAGGCATACAAAAATTAAAATAGGTGGACAGAAAAAGTTCCTAAGGAGGAGACTGAAGCTGAATCTAAAAGACAAGGCCAGTGGAAAACGTTTCAGGCAGAGAGAACACACAAGGTAAGTTCGAGAACTAAAAAGGCCAGTGAGGCTGGAGCATAGTATTGGGAGTAGTAGTAGAAGGTAGGCAAGCAGAGGCTAGACCATATAGGGCTTTGTAAGCCAGAGGATGTTTACAATAACTTAATCTTTTTGGGAGAAACAAAGTCACCTTCAGGCCTCGGTATCTGATATATAGTTGAATCACTACTTTAAATCATTTTTTTGGCATCTCTGAAGTTAGCATGGTCAATTACTGTGTAAGGTTAATGTTATATCTATCAATGTAACAATGTCAACAATACGAACAAGGCATGTCGCTCATTTATTTTTAATATCTGGATATTTACTTTCAAATACAGGCAAACATTTTAGATGTAACTTAGAATAAAAATCTCCATTTGCCTTACTCAATGTTGAAATTCTACAGCCAGTTAAATATTTAAGTGTACAGGTAGTGTTAGAAGAGCAAAATGATGCAGTAATTAATAACTGAAAGTTATTAACTTTACGTGCAAAAATTAAGACTTTAGTTAAATGAATAGGAAAATAGATTGACAGTTAATAAGACTATTAGTTTTAAGAATATTATAGCCTATAAAATGAAAAAAGTTTATAAAATATAGTAAAGTTTAGATCATAATTCCAATCTTTGTGAGTCTATCTGGTATAACTAACATTCACAGCATTAAACAAAATAGTAAGAAAATAATTATAATAATTAAGAACTCTATTTCACTAGAGAAAAAAGTCTCATTAGGGAATTCTTTCCATTTTGTAAAATGAATTAAAAGTGAAATGTCAACTTTGCTACCTCAAAATTTCACAATGAGAAAAAACTTCAAAATCATGTACAACGAACATCCACAAAAAATCATCTTCTACCCAGAAAACATAAGGAACATAAAGAGAATGAAAAAAGTATGAGAGAAAAATGAGATAACCCTCAAAATATCTTGCTCCTCACTGACTGAAGTTGAATATAAGCATCCCTTTAGTACTGCAAATTTGTAGTTAAGAATACCTGCAAGAAAAATCTAGCAGCTGAGAGTGCTAAGAAATTATTATTCCTGTACTTTAACGTCAATTAATAAAACTAGACCACCAAACATTTTAACAATTATTAAATTCAATGTACCCATCAAAAAAAAAGGAAATGAAACTTTCCATTGTTCTTCTTTATAGCAGCATGAACAATGTTAAACTTTCTGCATAAGACATGCTCTCTAATTAATCAAAAAGTCAATATCAACAGGCAGAAGAAAAATGGTTAAACTGAGGATCTTAAATATTGAATCCAGTGGCTCTTAATGCTAGTTGTACAAGGAGTCCCATGTAGAACTTTAAACATCAAAACAGATGATGAAGTCTACTCCAGACCTACTAAGTCAGAAAATTGGAGCTAACTTTTCAGTTCTTTCGTTTTCTCATATTCCGTATTTCATTCTTCGTACATTTCATATTTAAGGCATCAAGAAATTTTGTCAGCTTGAACTTCAAATACTCAGAAACCAATCATTTCTCACCATCTCTAATGCCACTTCCCTGATTGAAGCCACCATCTTCTGACCTGGATTATTACAATAGCAACATAACATTTACTCTTGCCACACACCCCCGACTATTCTTGACAGACCAGCCAGAACAATCTTTTTTAATAAAGTCAGATCCTGTCACTTGTTTGCTCAAAGCCCTCCAGTGTCTTCCTATCTCTTTAAAAGGCCTTACAGGATCTGCTCTCTACTTCTTCTCCAACTTTATTCTCTTCCCATCTCTTACTTCACTCCAGTCACATGGGCCTCCCTGATCTTCCTCAAACACATCATGAATGCTCTTGCCTAAAGGCTTTTGTATTTGCTATTCTCTGAACCTGGAATTCGTTTTGCCTCAGGTATTTCAATAGCATGCTCTCTTATCTCCTTCAAGTCTTTAACTCATCACCTCAGTAGGCTTTTCTGCCCACTTTATTTTAGAATGTCTCTACGCTCCTTGGGAAATTCCTTACGCACTTTCCACTGGTTTGCTTTTCCCCTTAGCACTGATCACCATCTAACATACTGTATGTTATTAATTGCTCTGGTTTCTCCCCATACTAAAACTGAATCCACATGAAAGCAGGGCTACTTTGTCTGGTTCTTTTCCTCTAAGTTTTGTAAGCCCGGAGGTTAGAACACTGCCTGGTACATCACAAGTGTTATACAAATGTTAACTGAATAAACGAATGGAGAATCAATGACCTTGATAGTTATTTACCAATATTATGTATGTTTGAGAAATCATACTGAACAACCACCTTCTGTGAACTCAGCTTCTAAGTAATTATAATGTCTAACTATTCAAGGTAAAACATGCTAGAAAAGTCAAAATAATAGTAATTGCATTAAAAAATATATATCTTATCCACATCACCTGGAAACTTATTAGAAATGTACTCAGGCCTCAACCCCAAATTAATGAATCAGAAACTCTGGGCTCAGGGCCTAACAATCTGTTTTAAAAACCCTCTAGATGATTCTGATACATACTAAAGTTTGAAAAACTGTTTCAAGGAATATTCTGCCACATCAACATCACCAACCCCATTTTAAGTCTATTCCTACCTCTGGTGAAGCAGCTGATCCAAACGATGTTAAGGGCTTATTCCATGCACTGACTGAAGGTGGCTGTGGTGGGCTAATGGGACCTACTGAAAAGAAGAAGCCACAGAAAACATGATCATTCAAATTTAGAGGCTAATAATCCCACACCTGTTAAATTTTTTCTCTTATTGGTAGCCAGATATTGAAACAATGACTTTTCATATTACACTTAAAGAGATAATACATAAACCCACTAAACTTTATGTATTATTTTTTTATAAACACAAAAGTGTGTCCATGAAAATACAACATGATTGTTAAAAGTATAACATGCTTATTCTAGAAACAAACGTTATAGGATAGGAAGCTAAGAAATGATTACTGCTTTCTATTAAGAAAAAATGAGATGTTAGAAAAAACTGAGTATATAAACAAAATTGAAAAACAAAAACCCAAAACTCAGTGTTCCACGCTATTCCACACCTCTCACTTCGTTGCAAACTTACATTTTTTAGAGATGTCGTTCAGCACAGCGGGTGGGGCCACCTTGTTGTCCCACAATTCAGCTGTAAGAGTGCCATGGCACTGCGAGTTTTGGATGGATTTTCCTGTGGTTACATAATCTACACCATTAGGTGTCTGAGCTGAATGCAGCCTAACTAAAGGTGGTGGCTGTTTTGAAGTCTGTGTTGTAGTCTGGAGTGAATTTTGGACTGTTTTGTGAGTCTGTGCCTGAGTCTGGGCTGGGGCAGACGGGCCAGGGGTAGATGGGGCTGGGGCAAGTGGGACTGGGGCAGTTGGAACTGAGGCTGGGGCAGCTGCAGCTGAGACTGTTGGGGCAGTTGGGGCTGATGCTGTTGGGGCTGGAGTTGGAGATGAAGCTGGTACTAGAGCTGAGGCAAGGGTGGGGACTGAAGCTGGGGCTGAGGCAAGGATGGGGACTGAGGTCGGGGCTGAGGCAAGGATAGGGACAGAGGCTGGGGCTGAGATTGAGGCAAGGATGGGAGTTGGGGCTGGAATCGGGACTGGGGCTGGGACTGGAGCTGAGGAAGAGGCTGTGGCTGTGGCTGAGGTGGAGGCTGGAGCTGGAGTTGAGGCTGAGGTTGGAACTGAAGCTGAGGGTGAGGCTAGAAGGGGAGCTGAGGTTGATGGTGGAACGGGAGCTAAGGCTGATGCTGGAATTGGGGCTGAGGTTGAGGATGGAACTGGGGCTGAAGCTGGAACTGGAGCTAGAGCTGGAGCTGAGGCTGAATTTGGTGCTGAGGCAGGACACTGTGCTTGCTGGGTCCCTGTAGTCTGTTTTTTGGCAAATCTTGGAGGAAGCTTAGATGTCTGATTTCTTCCTTTTTCATTTGCATTCTTTTTGTTCCAGACCTTAAAAAATTTGGTAGGAATCATTTCTGTCAATAATGCAGCTGAAAGCAACAGTTCGTGAATACAATTTCTAATAGAACTACCTACTGCTAATCTGGCTCCTTTACTTTTCAAAATATGTACTCCACAGAGTGAAAATGTCAAGGCTGCTAATGAGATTTTAAATTATGAGAAGCCAAGATGATGTAAAGAAAGAAGACAAATATATATTATATATTCTTGATATATGATTCATAATCTCTTCTCCATAATTCTGAAATCCAGAATATTAAAGAAGTTTGCAATAAATTCATTAGGCAACAAAACCCGACTTGATCTGACAAAAAGCTATTAATCATCTTCATTCAATTCATGTGAGCCACAGAAACATGAATTCCAGGAGTGCTGCTGTGATGTATACTATATAGGACATATGCACTACTATATTACCTACCTAAAATAAAATAAAAAATAAATGACTTCTGAAAAGATCTAGTCTTGATATATATTAAACTGAATATATATTGCCTTACATATAGAATATAGAATTCCAGAAAAATTTCTTGCCTTTAGGCCTTCTCATCTAATCCCCAAAAAACCTGTTGCTGACGAGTTGATTCTGACTCATAGCGACCCTATAGGACAGAGTAGAGCTGCCCCATAGGGTTTCCAAGGAGCAGCTGGTGGATTCGAACTGCCGATCTTTTGGTTAGTGGCCGAGCTCTTAACCACTGCACCACCAGGGCTCTATCTAATAGAGCTCTTTAAAACCATGATCCATCTGTTTTATTTATTTTTATCCCCAGTCAGCATTATGCAAAATGGGTTTATTTGGCTTGTTTTAAATGGAATGATTTATCTTGATTCATATTGTGTATTTAAATAAACTAATTTAGATTACAATCAAAACTTTTATAGTCCAAGAATCTACAATTTATTGGATCATGGCAGTTGTGTTCATTAGATTTCTAAGAATTTTAAATTACCTCTGTAACTCTGTCATGAAGCAGATAGGGCAAATAAGATAACCAGTACTAAATTAGAAAATATGTTTTCAAACTAAAGATGGTCTGTTCTAAGGCAAATGGTGAGCTATAGTGATTATATTCTATTTAAATTTTACCTCACCTGGTTCAAAACAGTTCAAAGTTGTGAAAATCAAGTTACTCTCAAGACCTGAATAACAGAAGCAGCACTGACCTTATATGTAGATAGAAAAGTTGATCATTTGCTAATACACATTGGGCAACAATCTAAATAATTAACAACAAATTGAAACAAGTTTTAAACCTGTATGATTTGTTCTTCCTTCTTTCGGCGTTCTTCATCCTGTAAACGTTTTTGTTGTTTTTTGGATACCACTTCGGTAAAACCATCATCATTCAAATTTGATTGAGGATCTTCAACTACTGTTACTTCAGGGTGGTCATCGATTATAACAACACCTGTGGTATGGTATCAAAAAGATCCAAAACGATTATTTCTGTTTTTCAATTACAGAGTTAAATAAATGTTTAAACGCAATGCTATGTTTGTTTAGTCCAACGGTATTTAAAAAAAGAAAAAAAGAGACAAGCCAAAGATAATTCACAGTATAACCTATCTCCCATTTTCCATTTCATAAGGTGGCCAGTCATTAGCAAAATGATTTAAGGATCAAGATTTCAGAAACAAGGTTCAAAATAAAAGGCCTAAAACTATTTGCTTTGGATGATATACATCTCTATTTACCTACTTTTCTGTCTTAAGCAATATAGGCAATGCCTAAAATTCAAAACGATCCTATGACCTTAGTCAAGTTATTTAACTTCTCTCTCTCTCCATCTCAGATCTGCACAGTGCTTTAAGTATACATGGTACCTTACCTCCTTTGCATCTCACCATTAGAAGTAGGTATTACTATTATTTCCCTTTTTCAAAGGATGAAATAAGTTCAGAGATGCTAACTGGTTAAAGGCCATTAAGTGAGGAGGTGATCAGACTAGTTGGTCTTATGACTCCTAATGCCTCTATTTTATGTAGACCTTCATCTACAACTTGAAGTTGTTAAAATAAAAAAAAAAGATATGTGACAGTTCCATGTAAATGCAAAGCAATACATTGTACATACATCACAATCATCTAGCAGATAAATAACTGAAAGTATATTTCTAACTAACCATCATTTTGGTTAACTTGTTACAAATTACCATATATTCCAATGAGAATTAAAAAATCTAGATCCATTAAACATTATTTCAAGGAAAAAGAAATCTGTTGGAAGGATGTTAATTTTTGGTTATAGGTATATTGTCTGCACAATAAAATCAAAAAAAGGGTGAGGCAATTCAAATACATTATTATTTTAACTTTGCAAACAAGATTTATGTTTTAATTGGGGAACACACATACAGTGAAAACAACTATTTGCTTGGGAATGACAAATACACAACTCAGGATGGTGATAACTTTTTTGAGAATGCCAAGAGGATATAATCAGGGAGGGGTACACAGGGAAAACCAATTTGCAAACAAAATTTTTTTTTAAATAGCTAAAAATCTGCATTTATGTAAAGACTGAGAGTAAAAATAAATACTAAGACTGGTTCTCATTCTTTAAAAACCTATTACTGTTATTCTGTTTTTTAAAATAAAAAGTAGATTTCAGAGGAAAAAAAAATCAATTGCTTCTGATTTACGTAAGAGTTCTGTGTTTTAAATTCAGGAATTATTAACTCTGTGAAATGGAGTATATGCTCATTTGATGTAAAGACTTAGCCAAACATTTAAAAGGATGTCACACACTCCATCATTTTAGACTGGCGAAGAAACACTTTGTTCATAGTTCTAAATTCATTTCAGTTTTTCAGACTAAAAGGTGTGCATTTTATCCCCAGTCAGCATTATGCAAAATAGGTTTATTTATCTTCACAGCCCTGCCACCATACTTCGTTTTAACTTCCTTTCAAGAAGCTCCACATACAGTATTCATGAAAATTTGAGCAATATTTTCTTTTGTCTTCAATACTCTGTTCTTGCCTGGTACTCTGAGTTATTACTCAACCAATGTTATTAAAAAAACAACCTAAAGATGACTTAAATATACCTTTAGTGAGTTAAAATGAACAGCTCAATTTCCATCATCCATTTGGAAATACCTAGCACTCTTAGCTTTTTACATTACATCTTAATCCAATAATCTAATACTTTGGAAAATTCCTACTACAAAAGTTCTTTGGAAGAAGGAAAATTGGTATACAGATATTTGGGAAGACAAATGTGCCATTTTTGCAGACTTCTTTGTAATTTTCACTTGTCATTTTCCAAATATATGGTGTTTAGATGGATGCTAGTCTCTTCTCTTTCTTGTGGCCCACGATAAGGTTACCATCCAAGCTTCCTATGGATTTACTTCAACCGCACTCTCTAAATTTGGCACTACTGACATTTTGGACTGGTTGTCCTGTGCCCTGCAGAATCTTTAGGAGCATCCCTGGCCTCTACCAACTAGATGTCAGCAGCACTCCCCTCCTTTTCCCCACCTCTAGCACATGACAACCCAAAATGTCTCCAGATATTATCAAAAGTTCCCTTGGGGGGCAAAACCACCCCTATTGAGAACCACTGTTCTAAATAATCTAACTAAAAATTCTTAAACACAGGTGGGGCCAAGATAGTGGAGTAGTCAGACGGCTTCCTATATCTGTCTTACAACAAAGACCTGGAAAAACAAGTGATTTGATTGTATATGAATATCTAGGAGCCCTGAACAAGGCAAAGTTGAGGAATCGGACTGAGTGGTGGGGGGAGAGGGAAACAGTTTTGAAGAAGCGAGAAGTGCCAGTCCGGACTCGGCTCCTGCTCTTTAGCCCTGACTGGCTCTAGCGTATGCAGTGAAGCAGGCAAACAGCTGCGCATTTGCACTCGGGAGACAGTTTCCACATCAAGAGAGATCCGGCTGCAGAGATTCTGCTTGGACACTCCGAACTAGTGAAAAGCAGCTCCCAAGTGGCTAAACATAAGTATATGTGTGCAGCCTTTTGCAGGGATTTAAAAAAAAAAACCCTTTTGGAAAAAACCTCTCTCCCTTTTACTTCCTCCCTCCCCGCTCTGCACCCCTCAGGCCTTCCACCTTCCAAAGTCTGACTCCCCTGGGCCGGAAGTAGATCCCAAAAGATGCCTTGACCCATTCTCCTGGCCTTGGAGAGGGAACAAATAAGCTACTGGCTCCCCTAAGCGAGGAACACAGGGTCAGCACAGCTCCTTTGCTAGGCACAGGCATAAGGGGTACGTAGACTTTTAGTGCCTTACACCCCTTTACAGATTTGTGGGGATCCATCTCAACAGCATTAGCCCTCACTACTACAGTACAACAGGGTAAATACCTGAAGTCTAATTTCAACTGTTTCAGCTGTGAAGTGGCAGATTTGTGACCCTTGACACAGCCCTGCCCTTTAAAGGCACCTTTACCGATCCCCACCAGGGGCTTGAGGACTGGTGGCTTCACCTATGCCACCTAATCACCTGCTACAGGAGTCCAAGAAAAAGTGGTGCCCTCGAGTCTTTACAGCCAACAGAGTGGGGTGCTCACAGTCAGGCTGCAAAACTCACCTACCTACTCGCCCTAGGGAATAGGGACGTGCTTTCGTGTCAGACTCTCAGGGGCAGCCGTCAGCCCCCTGACTGGCTCAGCGCGTGATGCTCTACTGCAGCCAGATACATGTGCCTATACCAATCATCCATGCCTCTCTAAGACTGTAGGTGACAGCCTGCACCACACACTTGGTGATCGATGCCTGGATACCTGAGCTGAACCCATATAGGAAAATTTAACGGACTCCTGTGTGCACATACTTAGTTACAGAACTAACTACCTGGTGACAGGACATTAGAGCTTCAAAGGTGCCACTAATCAAACTAGTGCACACAAGCAGCCTATTGGGGCATATCAAAACAAAACAAAACAAGAAGCTAGGACTCACTAAACAAATATAAAACAAAATTATAATAACTTATTGATGGCTCGGAGACAACAGTCAAGATCAAATCACATACAGAGGCAGTCCATGATGGCTTCAGCAAGCTCCCAAAAAAAAAAAAAAGAATCAATAAATTCTCTGGAGGAAGAGAATTTCTTGGAATTATCAGAGGCAGCATACAAAAGATTAATACACAGAACTCTTCTAGAAATTAGAAAGGAAATTTTACAAAATGCAGAAACAGCCAAAGAACACACAAAGTAGTAGCAGAAATTAAACAAGTTATTTAAGAACATAATGACAAATTTAATCGGCTGCAAGAATCCACAGAGACAGCAATCAGAGATTCAGAAGATTAACAATAAAATTTCAGAGTTAGACAACTCAATAGAAGCAGAATTGAGGCAGTAGAAGTTAGAATCAGTGACACTGAAGATAAAGTGCTTGATGCCAACTTACTTGAGGAAAAATCAGATAAAAGAATTAAAAAGAATGAAGAAACTCTAAGAGTTATGTGGGACTCTCTCAAGAGAAATAACCTACGAGTGATTGCAGTACCAGAATGGGGGGAGTAACAGAAAATACAGAGAAAACTGTTGAAGATTTGTTGACAGAAAACTTCCCTGATACCATGAAAGATGAGAAGGTATCTATACAAGATGCTCACAGAACCCCACATAAGGTAGATTCCAAAAGAAAGTCACCAAGACATAATCAAACTTACCAAAACCAAAGATAAAGACAGAATTTTAACCCCCCCCCCCGCTAGGGATAAAAGAAGTGTCATCTACAAAGGAGAGTCAATTAGAATAAGCTCGGACTACTGAGCAGAAACCATGCAGGCAAGAAGGCAATGGGATGACATATTTAAAGACTTGAAGGAAAAAAACTGCCAGCCAAGAATTATATATCCAGCAAAACTGTCTTCTCAAATATGATGGTGAAATTAGGGCATTTCCAGATAAACAGAAGTTTAGGGAATTTGCAAAAACCAAATCAAAATTACAAGAAACACTAGAGGGAAACCTATGGTTAGATAACAATGCAAGACTAGAACACAGCCCAGAGCAACCAGATATTGACTGAGATAGGGAAGTCGAAAATACATCAAAGCTAAAACATTGAAAATAGGGAAACAGAGATATCAATGTGTAAAAAACGACAACATTAAAAGAAAAAAGAGGGACTTAAAAATGCAGACACTGACTTTTCATATGGAGGGGAAGTCAAGGTGCTATAAAGAAACATAGAAAAATGGGGTAAATATTAAGGTAACCACAAAGGAATCTAACAATCCTACAAATAAAAATAAAAAAGTAGAAAAATATAAAGACCCAGCAAACACAAAATCTACAACAATGAAAAAGATGAAAAAAAAAATACATAAAAATGATTCAGCACAGAAAATTAAGGGGAACAAAGAAACTGTGAACAACATACAAAAAGAGACATCAGGATGACAGCACTAAACTCATACCTATCAATAA